CCACACTGTCATACAGAAAACAACACTGTATTGTATAGCGCAGCACTGTTCTATGTCCTGACATAGAAGCATGGCTCCAGAAATAGCAAAGCATATACCTGTAGGTGCTATTTAAAAAGAAAACCCACACATATGCTTTCAAGGATCTTAAGTACAACACAGACATTGTGTTGACTGTAGCCTGAACAGCGTATTATACAAAACAGTGCCAGACAGGCTTCTCAGCACTTAGTTTCAAAAGCAAGTACTAGACATAGCACATCCTTGATGCCAGTGCCTTCCTTGGCCAACAGGAAGGGGTACAGAATTCAGCACAGTAGAAAACAGTTATTAACATCTGGCTATTGACAGCAGGGGCCTGGAACTACATATTCCTGATGTATCCCTTCATCCAGTCTTGTATAAAAGCTAATGGTAACTGCAGTCCTCCTCTCCACTTGCTGCTCAGCCTAGGAAACCTTCACACACAGTGGAGAAACAGAGTAATCATGTACTGCTGTAGCTGCCACTAGCATAAAATTGTATCAATAGCATCTCCTTACCCTGTTAGCAGGAAGAACTCCATTGCCTTCTGCATGGAAAGACGTTCCAAGCCAAAGACAATTCCAATGACAAGTCAAAGATCTTCAGAAGATACCGATTTGGCACAAGACACCATGAGGAAGGTGTGATTATCTCAAACATCCTACAGATTCACAGCACACAAACCAAAACAGCCAAGTCAAAGTAACCTTAGAGGCTTCCAGGATCACTTATTGTGGGCTGTCACCTACACCCTTGCAATTTTCTCAATCTTATTTTTTATGGATGCTTCAATGCCAGAAAACCTACTCTCCTGTAACAATGGCACATGGAAATCTAGCTGCACCTATGTCTCTCTAGACTTTACGTAAGTTGCCATACACAGGCTTGTCATAACCCCAAAGACCATGACAGCTGGAGAAGGAATGGGTGGAAGACAGTGCACTAGCAAAGTAACTGCACAACGCATCCAGCAGGTCAGGATCAGCATTTCGGGGCATAGTTCCCATTCAGAATTTCTACCAAATTTCAGGTGTTGCAGCGATTTTGGCATGGCTGCAATTAGTGGCCCAGGCTTTGTTTTCTAGCCATAAAAGAGCCACCAGTACCAGTCCAGTTGGCAGCTGGACATGAAGAATACAAGCCACAAATTTTCTTGCAAGTATTCACAACTCACATGAACAAACCAAATTCTTTTTCTAACTTACGTTACATGCATAATTTTTAAGCTCATTAACCTACAGAAAGGATGTTTTCAGAGGTCATTAGTCACCAAACTCCATCCAACACTGACATCTGTACTGGAAAATTTCCACATAACAAAGGCAAATTTCCCCTGGGTTTGATTATGAGTTTTGTTGACCTTCACCACTAAAACTCATGGTAGAAGCACTATTACATTCACATTTAAAAATCACAGGAGCATTTAGCTGGGTAAGTTCGGCTCTGAATTACTTTGAAATGCTTCAAGACTCTGAAGAAACCCTACTTTCATATTTATTTCTAGTAAGTAAAGAGTAGTAACAGATACAGATGTCATTATGCTCTATTGTAAAGGAAGCAGAACAAGATCACCAAATAAACCAGTTTACTGGAGGAAGAAAAACCTCTAATAATCAGGTTGACAGAATATTAACAGGTTACATAACTTTTCTTCATACAAAGCACATCTAACAAAGCATACCTAATAAACTGGGCAAACTCAGGACATAGAACTCACCTGGGACACCACAAGCTTCAGAAATAATGCAAGGTTCTGCAGTGCTTGTATTAAGGCCTTCTAGATTTGCGGATGTAAGCCCTCCTCGCACATAAACAGAAATCACAGTTCACTACCTCTTTTTCTATAGAGGTGGGGTAACACATCTTAGTATTTGTGTGTGACCCTCTGATATGGGTGAGTGGAGTCTTCCAGCAGAGGAGGTTCTTGGATAAACAAAAATTCAAGGCACATGGAGCAACCTTTCTACTCCCCAGGTGCTGCCTTCCTCACTCACATCCACCTGGGCAGCACACACACACAGATGGGGGTGGGAGGCAGTTCTCCTTTTTGTAGAGCTCTTTGTCAGCATAACGGGCCAAGGACATCTTGAGCTTACCTGTATTTTAACATACTAGGTCTGTAGTGCCAGTCCAATACTAAGAAGCTAACCCCAGAAACAGCAAGAGGAAGTCAAGACTATGCTGCTCGTAATCACTACTGACAGGATCCTTGCCATCATTCACTGCTTGGGAAAGTCAAGGTGCTAGACAGTCCCAAACCACTCTCTCACTCATCCTCCAGAACATTCCAGTCAATGTTTTCATAATGAAAACCTAGAACTAGGAATGAGACAAGAACAATAAAGAGCCCTAAAAATTCCCATCTTCATTGCAATGCAAGGTGGAGTCCTGCTAAAACAACGTTTAACAGGTGGGAGGACAGAAGCAGCAATAGTCCTCATCCTGATACATCTCTAGCAGTCACACTATCTACTGATCAGCTGGCGTGTTTATCTTTAAAGAAACTATAAAAGGAATCACAGATAAGAGTGACATTTTATGAAAAAGAAAAAAGAAAGCGTTCCCATTTTTGGTATTCTGTCGCATTTCACTGTGAGTGTGTAGCATCAAGCCTTTATTGATATACTAATTATTTACCAGTTTTTGTTGCTTTTGCAATGTAGGAAGCATGAGGCTGAAGGTGACACTCTGAAGTCATTGAGCAGCCACAGACCTCAGCACACAGTACAGTTTTGTGCTCTGTGACAGGAGGCAGAAACATTGCAAGTAAAGGAAAGCCACTCCCAGAAGTTGAGAACTGAATGTATTTGTTGTTCATTTCCCAAAATAATCAAACATCTTAAGACTGGGATTTTCAAAGGCGCCTAACAGAGTTGGGTCTTCTAAGCCCATTACATTTTGGTGGCATTTGAATACCTCAATTTCTAAGTCTGCCCTGAAAGAGAATTAAGGTGGGATTTTTCAGTTTTAAGTTTACCGTTCTCAAGCTTTGTGCCCCATTTTGCAGCAGGTACTGCAAGACACAACACAGATCTTTCATTCAGAATCTTCCAGGATCAGCAGAAATTTACCAATGTGGTGACTGTTGTAGGACTGGAATTTTTGAGATTTTCAGTTTTGTTTTTCAGTCATTTGTATTGTAACTTACCATCATCATTCTTGTATTAAGACAAGAAAAAAAAAAAAAAAAGGAAGCATAAGAAAAATACACTATACAGAAATAGAGGCTGATGAAATTCTTGATTAATATGAGATAAGAATCCCAACATCCATTAACCTAACGAGAACCCCATGTGCAGTTTAAAACAAACAAACAAGTGTGAGAAATCAGGCATCTGCTCCCACCAGCTGTAGTACAAGCTATGAACAGGCTTGTACCTAGACAACTACATTTTGGTCCCGATATTAATTACATTTAAAATGGAAAAGCAGAAAACCTTCTGCCTTCTTTATTTAGCTTACACCCCCTTTGTTTCTTCTTTTTTTTTTTTTTTAATAGAAAATGAGTGGTTTTCCATTTAAAAGGTGAGAACCACTTTGTAGTTACAAGTGGTACTTTTTGACTTTCTTAATACAACCCTGTGGCTACAATTAACACAACGAATAAATAGCAGATCAAATTAAGGTCTGATCCTGCTTTACTTAAAGGTTCAATCCTTACAACAAATTGCAGGTTAAGCTGTTGGAGGCAAATGAGGAGAGACAGAAGGTATGATTGCTGATGCCTGAATTTTAAGCATTCAGACATTAAAAGCAAGTGTATGAGAGCAGATAAGCAAATATCAAGACAAAGTTTTAAAGCTTTTAGGTGCTTTGGATATGATTAAATTCCAAATATAGCTAAGATGCTTGTTTTGCACATACCTTTGAGAAGATGTAGCAGATTTTATATTTCTCTTTAGAGCTACTTAATGTTTACTTTTATCCTTCACATGGGAATAACGCTTTCAAAAGAGAAAAAGAATAAGATTTTTCTTCTCTTTATTTCAGAGCTCTTTAAGTTCATTTCAGAACGTCATTGTTTTTGAAGTTTGGGGAATAAGGGAATGGCAGACTGCTTCCATGCATGCTCTTATTGTTGTGGAAATCTATTATTTCATCCCTTTAAAAACTGAATAAATAACTGAACCAATTTGAAGTCCCCCACAACCTGGGATTCCTATAAGCATCTTAAGATTGCATACTGCCTGATTTATTTAGTTTGCAATTCAATCACAAGCATTGTGCAATATAAAAATCAGAACATAGTAAAATAAGTATGTACTGTCTTTAAGCATGATCAGTCTAAAGATTTTTAGGGAGGGATTAACTCAAGGAAGGTGGCTTTATGAATCACTGTCTGAGGCGCACAGCATCTAACATGAATCCTAAAATTGCATCCTCAAAAAAAATGGTGTACTTACAGCCAAGCTCCACACTGACTGCCCATTTCCTAGGGCTCCACTAAGAGAAGGATGTGCTCAGAGCTTCAAAGAAGCAACCCATTGTCTGAAAAACAAAAGAGCAATGAGATATGTTAAGTAATTAGTTCTCTTCCATAGTAATTAAGAGACTTAAGTAATTAAGTCTCTTCCATACCATGAAGTGGTGACCAATGTATTTTTGCAACCCTGTTCTTGCTCTCTTTGCACAAATTATCAAAAGACATTGCCAATGAGTCCTTACATATTGTTCATCACAACATTAGCAGTTTTTTGAACACCCTGCTTGGGGCACCTACCGAGGCTGCTCCATTACACTAGAATTCCTCTTCTGATTTTGCCATTGAGCTCCAGAAAACACTGAAGAAAGGAACATGCTCAAACCTCTGCCTTTGTTCCTACCCTGGCTGCAAGAAGGACAGAAGAGAACAGCACAAAACCACCACCCTTCACCCTCTTACCTAACCGCAGCCTTTCCTCATCCTGCTTTGTTCTCCCAGATCAGAAATCCACACCAGGTGGGGGCCCCCAGCCCATGTGAGCCTTTACATCAGCCAACAAGAGCCACCTGTGCAGCACAGCCCTATGGGTAGGCACAGGTGTCACGCACCACCTGCAGCCTGGGGCTGTGCTGATGGCGGGCAGAGAGATTTCAGGCAGATTCCTCAGCTACAAAACCTGAGGGAAAAAAACACTCTGGGGGTGCTGGCAGGGTGCTGGGATGGGACGGTTGAGCCCAGCGCCTCCATCCCCTCAGCCACGAGAGAGGCAGTCAGCCAACCGTTAATAATGGTCCTGGGCTGAGCCTGCCTGGGGCACGTGCATGGGGCTGGCCGTTACCGTTATCCATTACCAAACCTCTCCCCTGCTTTTCCAGCCTGCCTTGTACTTGCTAGAGCTCAGAGCTGGCTGCACTCTACAGTCACTCTGCTGGAGTACTGTGGTTTGCACCCAAAAGCCTTTATTCCTGCACGACCTCTCAACATGCGGCAGGCAGTGAGTGTTTCGTTCTGGGTGGTTTGGGTTGATTTCTTTTTTTGCCTCCATAGCACTTACCCTTTTGGTTTTCCAGCAGCTGCAGCTATTCAGGGGGAATTGACTGAAGTCTTGCATCAAGGGTGGATTTCCTGATGTTTGAATAACAAATCTTTCATTGTGATTGAGTAATTTGATCATTAAGATCCTTGATCCCCAGATTTTCTGAAATAAGCATGTTGGTCTAACCAGGTCTTACCAAAAATGGGAGAAATTTCGCATCCTAAATATTTTAGCTAACCTGACGGACTTGGCGGTTCAGCTGTACATAGGCTGACTGCCTTGGCTCTCCATTAAAAAAAACAACAAAACAAACAACTAAGAACTGTTGCAGAACTCCTCAGCAAGGCCCATCGCTGCTAGGACAGCCTGCAAACCTAAGTTGCTGCTTTACCCACAGTCACTTTACTTGCCCAGACACCCCCCTGTGCTCCCCACTAAGTGTGGTTTACCCCTCAGCAGCCCAGCATGATGCCTGGATGCTGAAGGAGAGAAGAGGGCAAGCCAGAAACAATGGCCAGGCTGAGATGCTTCAGTTGGCCACCCTGTTGCCACCCTGGAACACCAAACTACTGGGCTAGGTGGGCTACTGATCTCACCTGGTGGGACAGTTGCTGTGTTTGCAGTCACATGTTACTTGTGACTAATTAGCTGTGAGCATAGAGCAGCTATAAAGATGTTAGTAGCCAGTGGGGGGGTCTTGGAGGCAGAGATACCTTTCCATTTGCTGTTTGCATGGTACTAGGGTCCTGCTATGTGATTGTGTATCACAGCATAATATTTTTGTTTCCCGATTTCCAAATACAACCCTGTGCAGCCTGACTTAAAAAGGAGGTTAGTTATGTGTCTTCTGTGTGAGGCACTGCATGCAGAAAATTAAAGCTGGATGTTGCAGAGGTAATGCAAGAGTCAGGGGGCTGACTGCATGTCATGCTTACAGGTTCTGAGCATGCATCCTATTTTTGAAAACTAATTTAAAATGATGCGTTGGCTTCTTTACATGCCCTGCTAGTAACTAATTAACCAGAAGCGTAGCAAAAAATACCCCAATAATCAATATGCGTTTCTTTTGTAATTTGCCTATTTGAGAATTATTTAAAGCTCTAATAATTACCTTTTGCTGTTGCAGAGTGATCCTTTCCTGATGAGCTACAACAGCAACCAGACCTCTAAGTAGGTTTTAATAGAAGTAGAGAAGCTTTTAAAGTCTGCAGTGTCAAAGTAAATTAAAGTGGCCCTAAGTAGTTCATAATACAACTGACCACAGTGATTTCTACAGGGCAATTAAGTTTTACTGTGTCAATCATCTACTAGGCATTAATATAAAGCAGAACAGCTCTGAAGAAATTTGTTATGGACTGTCATGTCAAGAACCCAAACGCTAACCTGCAGCGGCCTTGATATTATTAAAATGACTAAGGGTCAGATTCCAATTAATCTGCAGATTTAACAGTCCTTCACTGTAGTGGGTCTTGATACAATTAAGCAATAATAGATGACAGGAAGGATACTTCCTGGCAGCTAATGACCAATGGCACTATTTGAAGGCCCTTAACCCAGCTGGTCATTAACTGCTTGGAGACACAACCTGGAGCTCATATTTTCTATTGTAAACCATATATTAAAGAAATAAATCAATTACTGTTTCCCCCCACTCCCATCCTGTGCGAGCTGTCAGGCTGCTGCAGTAGCAAATAATTGCCACAGCAGAACCCCAGCCCCGGCAGCCAGCGGGGGGACGGGCTCTCGTGCCCAGCATCGCAGTCCTGAAGCCCCCAAGCTGCTGCGAGCCTCAAGGGTGCCTGAGGAAGCTGTGGCTGCAGCTGGCGAGTAGAGGTTGTGCTCCAAGGCTGTGTCTGGGTGCTCAGCTGGAGGGAGAACCGTGTCTGAAGGAAGGAGAACGGACTCGGGCAGCAGGAGCACCTCGGTTCTCATCTCGGCTGCGCGCTGTCACTTGTGCGGTGCCAGAGAAGTCCCGTGGCTTTCATGCGATACTGCGGCGGCTGGAATAACTGATGTGTATCTCTGAGGTCTGAGATTCCTTGTCATTATTCGGCCGGCACTGTGATAGCTTTCTCTCATGGTGACCTGATGCACACACCATGGTGTTAGCAATGTTCCTGAATCCTCAGCGTGCCCTTTGGATTGCTAACGAGGGTGGTGCATGGAACCCGGCATGGCAAAGGCGCTCAGAGGGAAGGAGACCGCATGGTGCCAGCACAAGGGCAGGCTGCTCCTTGGGCACCTGTGGCCTCCAATGCTACCTTCACCAGAAGACTATTGCACACTGGACACGGCACACCAGCCTGTGCAGTACAATTGATTGTATTTTTTTAGACTGACATCTAGAGCTGTCAAATAATCATTTTGTCTCTTACTGCTATAGGAAGCGGTGACTCGTTGCATGCCATTCCTCAGCTCACTTTTCATTGCACCTATGTAACAACCCAGCTGATGGAGAACACAGTCGGTGTTTCCCAGACGACTGATCATTACTCACAGCTGCGGATTCCAGCAATGAAAGGAGACAAATGGTGAAGTAAGGCAGGGGGAGAAAAAACAGAGAAAAAGCTAAATTGGGGATGGCATAAGTTGACTTCAGTGGAGCAATATAATACATAGCAGAGGATTGGACCCTCTATCAGGCCTACAGTATTAAAATAAAATCCAGGCACAATGATACGGTGCTTCTTCTCCAGCTGCCTTTGACTCTAGTAGGTTCAGCTGGACTGACTGCTGTCCAGTGCCATAATTCTGCTTTTCAAATACACAGCATGGATATTGCCACCTTGTGCAAATTGCTCCATAATAACTAGTAGAAATACAGATTTTTTGCTGCCTTCCCCTCAAGAGCACTTTAGTGTTGCAGTTCGACTGAGTAACTAGTTGACTGCTTACCAGAAACCAAAGCTTAAAATGCACAAGTCAATATTTATGTATTTATTCATTATAACACATTGGTCAGCAACTTCATTCCATCCACTTTTGACCCTGAAGTATTTCATCACACAGATTTATAATGCAGTATGTCATTTTTAATAAGTTCATGTATGATGCTCTCTCCGGGGAAGTAAGGATTCTTTCCCACTTAGATGTTTCAGGGTGGTTTGTGTAATGGCTGAAACTAGACTGAAATCTGATGTAATGCACAATCAAAATGTTCTGTTACATTATAGTACAGTATACTTCAACACAATTTATTCTTTTTCTATGAGAACCATGACTAATTACAATGTCAAAAGCCAATCATAATACACAAATGGTAGCAGTTTACAGACATGGCAATATGGCAACTACAGGGTTTTTTTGTTGTCAAGTTTGGTTAGTTTGTTTAATGTTATACGCGGGGGAAAAAGGGAAGGCAAAGAAAGAAGGAACATGAGAACAGTTTTGTCTCATTTCTACTCAATAAAAATCCTACTGAGATTATGTTGCTACCAACAGCACTTTCTGCTTACAAAACCAGTGGTGCCCAGTGAATATTATCAAATTAAGTTGGTTATCATGCATGTCTTTCGCAGCATATGGTGTTAATGGATGTCAGAGGCTGATAAATGCCTTTGTACAATATAAAGGCATGGGGAAAACCTAAGAGCTGAAAGATTTCAGTTGCTGAACTTAAAGGAGACTAGCTGAATGGGCCTAGTCGCATTTTCCTTTCCATCAGCTCATCATATTCAATCTTTAATGCGAACTTAAGGGAACAATAAAGGATGCATAGAAGAAGTCACACACACATCTCATAAAACAAAATTTATCTTTAATTTGTAAGTGTCAACAGCAGTACAAAAGATGGAGTGATGGTGAATAGATTAAGGGTAGAGAGGACAGTCTTGAGGTAAATGAGCATAAATAGGCAGTCTTATAGACACTCCCCTGAGGGGTCTAAACCCCTGTCATGGCATATACTGAATCACCCAAAGATGACATGTTTAACATATCAGGAAAGCACCTTGTGCAAAAAAAAAAAAAAAAAAAAAATATCCCCCCCACCCGAAACATGTAGGTAAGGTGCCAACGTACACCAGAACATACTGTATATGGACAGTGTCTTTCAATTTTGTCTTTTCCATTAATAACTGAGGCAGAGGAGGAGAAGACTTTTAAAAGTACCACTGAAAGATTATTTAATATTTAATTTACCTCACGTCAATACTGCACAACAAAATTCAAGAAGTCTGTTTATGCAATGAAGCAGAGCTAAGAATAACTATTCTCTTTTTTGTTGTTGTTGAGAACAGATTTTTTTTTTCACTCAATATCCTTAGCAAACTTTTTTCTTTCTCATTTTTTTTTCTTCCTGTATCTAGAGGAGAGTGTGAGATGTGATGGCAACCTTTTAAGTTCATTTAAAAACTTTACACTGGACTGTACAAGATTTTTTTGATAAACTATTTACATTTTCAGACTTTAAAACATATTCAAAGCAGCAATAGACACTAGTTTTTCCTCTACACGCCCAAATAATTACCGGCCATGGGCCCAGGTAGGTACCTGCATTGTATATAGAATTTCTACAAAGAAAACCTGCCTGTTAAATTAGCCAGTGGGTGCCCAACAAGCAGCCCTCACCATCAAGAGCTGCACCCACAGTGTTGCTATAGGAATCAAAGCATAGTACCTTGACAAGAGAGTCTCAGTTGTCCCAACAGCTCTACACAAACTTTACAATTTGAAACAGCAGCTAGCATGTCAGTCCAGCATGTCAGTGAATTGTGCTGATTAAATTAACATAGAGTACAATCTCACAATATACATCACAAACAAATTACAATGTCAGGAAATAAGAGTTACAGTAAGATAAGTTATGTAGTAACAGCTTATAAGCTTGTCTTAATGTAATAAAAAAAATTTGTACATGGGAAATACAATAATGAATGAACATAAATGCTAAGCATTCTAGTTTGCTACAAGCTGAAGAAGGGTACAAGAAAAAAAAACGTTGCTTTCTAGAAAGCAAAAAACAAATGACAAAGGAAGACAAACGGAGAATGCACACTAGCAGGTCTGCAATGTGCAGCATACAAACAGTTAAATATTTGCACATTCCCCATACTCCAAGAGCACCAAGGACCTCACTTGTGGTTTTTAGAAAGCGGAAATTACAAAGCAAGCCATGTCACTAAGTTGCTTTATAGCTTTCATATTGCCATAAATACCAATTTGATAAGTTTTCCTTTAGCCTGGTTCACCCCACCCCACCCCCTTTTTACCCAGCGTGTGAAATCTCAGAATACTTCTTTGTCACCATTTCCAACAAATCTGGTACTTAAAAAAGGGCGATGGATTAAAATGAAATGTATTTGCATAAACATATATCTTTTTTTTTTCCTTCTGTAGTAGTACATTACAGTATATCAAAAATGTAGTTTGATTTGAGAAAAAATCACATATATTAATGGGTTATTTAAAAATTGGTTCGGGGGAAGTTGTTTTTTAAAGCAAAAAAGTTAAGTGTTTTCTAAAAGATCAGATGAGGTCATATAACATTATTCTTTTAAAAGAACATGCTTAAGTGCCAACTTGAATCTTAAAAAAGCATGCAAAACTCAGAGGGTCCAAGCCCATTCATCAGCGTCTCGTAAAAACACGAAGAACTCTATCATACGTCCTGCTGGCCGCATCTCCAGCGCAGTTGTTTGCACTGTGGACCAGTTCAGCAAAGATTACCCCGCTGAACACCAACACTTTCCTGGTCCTCGTGACCACCACAGAAGTACTAACGTGCTTAAAAGTGATCAGGTAGGTAAGTGTTTTGCTGGGGGAGGGTGGGAGTGTTAATCCCGTAGTATGTTTTGCTAGGAAATGATTTTTGAAATGCCACGTCATTGATATGACCAAAAACTGAATCCGGAAAGCCAACCCCACGAGAGGACCATGGTTCAGATGGCACTGGGAGGTGGTTGTGTTTATGCTCGGAGCAGTAACTGTCCTCAGCTGACTGCTGTACACTTTGCAATGCCGTTGTTTGCTTTGCGTTCCCAACCTGGAGCAATCCCATTTTTGCCCTCCCCCTGCCTCACGCTGCACCTGAGTACACTGATTTAGGAGCACTTTGTGATCCTCTGTATTCCCAGCAGGCGGTTGCACAAACTAAATGGTGACGCCCAAGCACACGTGCCGACCAGAACTGGGCCGTGTCATCTGAGTCATTTCTCCACATAAACCTGAGCCCTGTTTTTATCAAACATGAAGTGAACTACTCTAGCTGGTATCAGACTATTTCAGGAGTGTACTTCTCTTGAAAATAAGTATTTGCTAATTTTCCAAAAAGACTATATATTGTATCTGTTAATTAAATAAACTGTTTGTTCACAGAGAAAATAGTATTACTATATTTTTGCATTACCTGAATGGAGTTGGTATTTTTTTCAGTCAGTGTTATTAAGGGGGGCTCAAACACAACAGTTAAAAAGCAACTCTATATGTCCTCTTTGTGTTTCGTGGGAACTTTTTTGCCCAGTATTACAGCCTAATATGACAGTAGTACGATTTAATTAACGTAGAAAATAAAGATTTGATATTACAAAGTCTTGATTGCATTGCAAGGACCATCTTAGTCACGACAATCTTTCCAGGAATATGCTTTTGACTTTCAAATGCCATTCTTGTTAAGAATTAAAATATTAAATCAGTTTTACTTGGATTCAGAAAACAAACTGTTGTTTCCTATCAGCTGTATCAGAAACTTGGCATGTTTAATGTATCAACTTTCTAAGAAAGGAAAAAGTATTCTGTGTTTGTGGGATATGCTATCAAAAAACAGTGAGAGCACAAGTGAGGCAACTTGCTGTCCCAGCTACAGGTCCACAATACTGCGCTCACACTGCGGGTGGAAATTCAGCATCTACATGAGGTACAGTGACTTGTCAGCATTTAATATGGACCAACATACACTGATATAGAACAAAAGTAAATACATAACTTATACTTCACTAAGTATCCATGAACAAAAAATAAAATTCTATTTCCTATGTTATATTTACACAATTTAAAAAAATTCTAAAATGAGATGGTAATTTCATCAAAAACTTTGTTTTGAGCTCCGATTAATAAAGTAAAAATGGTGTTTTTTATCCTTATGATTGTCCTTCCTTGATTTCTACTGACATTTTAGAGCCAATGTCGGCTAATAAATAGAATAAAATGCTCATATGCACAATTCAGATTCAAATATGTTCCTCCCACTTCCCCAGCCAATAAATGCAATTTTACCAGCTGGCGATTCCTGAACAGCCAGTCATTTTCAAGAATGTGGCTTTAACGTAGAGAGCATCAGCACTGAGGCAGGGCTGGAGCTAAAACAAAGTGTTCATACATACATGTATTTTGCATAAATAAATGAAATAACAAGACATAAAAAATGACTCAAATCCGGCAACTGTGAGGCAGGCCCACACGAGTCGAAACAGATGACTTTTGTTCATGTAGTTTTCGTACAACAGTTTCACATTAGTCAGAAGTGATAAAAAATACCATTTATATCCAGTGCTTATAACACTTACGAAACAACATCTGTGAGTGTGTGTTTTTTTGTACTACAAGCAAAATCAAGTTTCAGTCCTAAAGAACAGTCCTTTGTTCTCCACAAGCCTGCAGAATATTATTTTGGCATGGTCATAAAATTTAAAAAAATTAACCAACTAATCTAAATGTTTGCCTTTGTGCAAAAAAATAATTACATAAAATACAATGCTAGCAATACAGCATTCTACTGATGCAACAAAACCAAAAAAAAAAAAAAAAAAGAGCAGGAGAGAAAAAGTGACATGGGGGGAGGGAGAGATACTTCTAACAGAAGAATTATGTAAGACATTAATAAATAGCCTTTTTTTTTTTTCTTTTTAAGGAAATAATGATACCCTCCCCCCAATCTGAGCTGAATGTATTAGAAACAGTTCAAATTACCAAGCAACTGTAAGAACAAAAACCACTTTCTATCAGTACCTTAGCCAGCTTAAAGAGGGCGCTCACCAGCTAACGACACAGCATATGCCTTTAAAGTCTTGGCTAGACCAGTTTATTGCTTGTTAGACATGGACTCAGAACACATTTAAATAAATATTTAAAATATAGCATCTTGCTCCAAATTACAAAATGGTCAGAGAACCTGACCATTGTGTTTCTATGTCATTATCTTTATAAATTGTTCTGTAAACTGAACAATCTTCTTTGTTTTGGGGGTTCTTTTCGCACATCTAAATGTGATCTCTGCAGGGGCAACAATGGCTCGCTCTGCTCTAAGAGGTATTACTGGGGCTATGAAGAAACAGACAGCTCCCAATACAGCATCTTCTCCTTGCACCTCACATGAACTTCTGCAAGATAGTACAACAGCATGAGGATGACCAGCATTACTTCCTTCATTGTCTGGGCCTTAGACGAAGCCCGTTTGGCTCTGTGGGAAGATTCCCATAGATTTCAAGAAGAGCTGCTCTAGGCCCACTCATACCTCTCAGCCTGAGTCTGAATTTATCATCGACCTGCTGAACATATCCAATTCAAACTAAAAGCTGAGGGAGATGAGGAGTTTTAGCACATGTATTCACTAGGCCCACTTGATCTGCATATTACATACAGCGGTGTATTTATGAACATGAGCAAAATGTGAGGGAAAAAAATAAAGGCGATTTCTTAGACATTTCTGAACATTAACAAACTCTCAGCCTTTCAATCTGTCTCTCTGTACATTTCCCAGAATTTTCTCTAGCAATTGCATTGTTTCCAGTAGTAATACAAATTTTAAAAAATTTAGTTTGTGTAGCACCTTACATCCAAAGATCCCAAAACACTTGAAAAACGTGCAATAAGATCTGGCTCGCATTTCCACATGACTAATATTTAATAAATATTTTTGATGCACCTTATGCCCAGCTTTGCAAGCCAGATATTTTTGTGGCTTTCCCCTCCCACTAGGAGTCTCACATATAAATCACTGCATAAATATTCAAGGTAGCAGATAGTTCCTTCAGGTGACAATAGGAACGTGAGATATGGAG